TCTTCCTGTGTGAAGCGCCAGACCCATTCACACTATGAAACGATGATGATGATGTATGTTCAGGGCTGCATTACAACATTGATTGTTCGGATCACTGGTATCTAAGTCTTCCGCTGTGCTATCTTATACCTTGTATTGAAAGGTCGGTTCTTGTTCTGGTCTGCACCTATACGGTATGCAACATGTTGCCACGTTCATTAAGCTTCTTGACCACATGCACTCACCCAAATAGTTTACAAAATTGACTTCCGAAGTGGCTACCACCACCAGATTTGGGTCCAAGAGGGAGATATCCACAAGTCTGCCTTTCGGTCTCGGTTTGGCCACTTTGAGTTCCTTGTGATGCCATTTGGCCTCACAAATGTCCCACCCTGATCTGCTGGAAGTCTGTGTTATCATCTGCTGGAAGTCTGTGTTATCATCTACCATGACAATATCCTCGTTTTCAGCCTGTCCTTGCTAGAAGACATTGACCACCTCGTTGTGTCCTCACCATCCTCCCGAGCAGAATTTCTATATGAAAGTTCGCAGCGAAACGCAATACATGTTCTTTGGTTGTGGACCATGTTGAGCACCTTGGCTGCATTCTCTGTTGATGATGGCGTGCTCGCCGATGAAGCAAAGGTCAAGGCCATCTTGGACCATCGTTGACCAAAAACGTGAGGGAGCTCTTGTCCTTTAGGGCATTGGTCAACTATGACCAACTTCACACATGTAGCTTATCCGCTGCACCAGCTCACGCGAAAGAATGAACTTCCGTACCTAGCGAAGCCCGTCAAAAGGCTTTTTACGAGGTCAAGCGACTAACGCACGACCACCCCAGTCCTAACGATTGAGGATCCTAGTCGACCATTCCATGTCACAACATACGCTTCAGATTCTGTCATCAATACTTTCCTGTCTCAGACCTTCCCCATTGAACGTTTGAATTGCCCTGATCCACTGACCCTATTGCAGTTGATTCCCCAACAACCCCAGATGCAGCAACATAAAAGTTTCCAATTACCTTGGAGAGTGAGAGACTCCTCTCCACAAGAATGAACTCCCCGGCCAATGAGAAAGCACTACTGGCAGTAATTCATGCCTCTAGATTGCAGTGTCCGTACTTGGATGGTCAACACTTTGTCATCAGCAAGGATAATACACCAGTCTCAAACCTTATGACCAAGGACATCACTCCTCATCAAGCATGGCGGCTTGACCTTCTTGCGTGTCATATCCCCAATCAAAGTAACAGAGTGGCAGATGCACTCTCATGGAGGCTAGATCGCAAGCATACTGCCCAGGCACTTAATCCTGTGGTCATTGCTAAGCTGTCCCCAAACTTGCGCACCCGTTTCTCCAGCAGTTATCAGATCTGCTCAAATTTCTGAGACAGTTACTCCCGCATGCAAGACAGTGTGTACATTCCCAATGTCCGTGGCCTTTGCACTCAGTCCTTGGCTGAGCACCACGACGCCATGTCTTTTGGCCACCTGGGAGTTTAGAAGAACTTCAATAACCTGTCCCAGTCCTTGTACTGGTCTCACAAAGTCCAAGATGTAAAACCTTACATCCGGTCTTGTCACACCTGCCAAACCGTCAATTCTACAAACCACCCTAATTCCCACCCAAGTCCATCTCCGAACTGACCACCACAAACCACGGCCATGACTCCCATTCGTTGTACTCTATAGAAACCTACCACTTCATTCCTCGCAAAAAAAAAGCCACAGTCAAATACACAACCCAATGTTCTTTGATCATGTCACCCGTCTCCATGGCCTCTGGGAAGACATCATCAAGGACTGGGATCCTCGTGTGTGTGTGTGCCTTCCAAAAACACCTCTTTGCCTTTGATGGTACCTCTCTGAAGCATAGCTCTCCCTTTCACCCTCAGACAGACAGACATATCAAGAAGATGAGTCAAATTCTTGAGCAAATCCTTCAGAATAGGACGAGTATTTCTTCTCCAAAGAGATTGCATAAAACAATGCAGGCTGTCCTGACAGTCGCATATCCCCATTTGTTCTTGATCTTGGTTATAATCCACACCTTCCATCCGACCTGCACCTGCCGGCTCAGCTCAACCCATGCACATCTTGCCCGTCCCTCAATGATTGGGTAGCCCATATCAACAAACTCATTCGTGAACCCACCGAACCCACCGAACCCACTCACTCTGCTCCAATCCGCCGAGCCACTGTTGTTGATCCCCATCGCCACCATGTCCCTTTCAAAGTCATAGATGAAGTGTTGCTGATTGCAGAGCACTTCAAGCCAGAACTAAGTCTTCGTAGAACACTCGATTCCAAATAGCCTGGTCGTTACAAGATCCTAGAGCAAACCTGAGATTCAAGATAGAACTCCTGCCCGAATGACATCTCAGACGTCCTCAACGAATACCATGCTTCAAACCCCCAGTTTTCTGCGTCGTTCGCATACAAGGCCCCCACCTGTCATAACACCTATTGGACTAGAAAGCATGGCAGGCCGCCGCTCGATAGTCATTGCAGGCCAAGCCAAACCCTTTGTTAAGCACAAGGCCAAGTGGAAAGGATGTCCCATAGCAGATGCCATGTGGGGGCCATCATCCCATCACAGCGATGTCAGGACTTTGGATGTGGCATACTGCGCAGCCACACGGGCCTGCAGGGCCCGACCAGCGTTTTCATCCTAAAAGCCTGAAAACAAGGGCCTACAGGCCCTGTGTCGTTTTCAGCCTAAAAGCCTAAAAACAAGGGCCTACAGGCCCTGTGTCGTTTTCAGCCTGAAAGCCTGAAAACGAGGGCCTACAGGCCCTATGTCGTTTCAGCCTAAAACAGGGCCCTCCAGGCCCTGAGTCTTTTCAGCCTGAAACGGAGGGCCACTTTCAGGCCCTCATAAGATCGACCTGCCCTGAAACTTAGGCACCAGACCAGGGTTTTAGCACAGGCCATTTTTGGCCTGTTTTCAAGACAACCCTTGTTTGAACTTCAACGCCAGGGTCTGGCACGTTTTGGCATTGGCAGGAGCAGCCTCCTGGACGGGCCAGCACTATATAAGACTGGCCCGCCCTACAGGCTGCAGACAGTCACGAGGTAGTTCAAAAGAACTTCCCAGGCACTTCACGTGCAGGAGGCAGGAGGCAGTCTTCAGGATTCGGCCAGCAGCACTCTGGAGGAGCGCTGTAGTAGTAGTAGTAGCGGTAGCAGTAGTCTTCAGCGCTGGGCGCTATTAGGAGCTAGAGGAGCATTGGAGAGAGAGAGATGGTTGGCGGAGGCCAGGGAGACTTACCTGTGGCGCCATAGCTCCAGCTTCATCTTCGATGTACCTGCAACAAGGCGCCACCTTCCAGGTTAGTACCGGAGTGAGAGAGAGAGAGAGAGTTCTTCTTCTTCCTGTTCTAAGTCCACCATCTCTCCCTCACCCTCTCGCTACCTGACTTCTCAGTATCTGCCGACTACGAGAGAGAGAGATTGGTGACTTTGGGACTTCACGACATTTGGATCCAGACTCGACATTAGGATTCAGACATTTGACGAGGGATTATTTGAGACCTGTACCGAAGACTTGGTGTTGACGACATTCCCATCTTCCCCTCTTCTTCGTCTAACCCCCCTCTTCTTCGTCTGTGTAGGGTCGGGGACTGGCGCATTCTTCCTGTGTGAACGCCAGGCCCCTTCACACCATGGAATGCTGATGATGTATGTCTGGTCTGCATTGCAACACTGATTGTTCGGATCATGGGTATTTAAGCCTTCCGCTACGCTATCTTGTACTATGTGAGAGGGGTCGGTTCTTGTTCTCGTCTGCACCGTTACGGTATGCGACATTGGACCATCCCTTTTATACGAAACTTCAGAAAGCCCAGACCTAGATAGTTGTAGTTACTGTCTCCTATATATGCAGACTACATTGTCTTTTCCTAGCCTACCTCCCTAGTTCTCTATACTCTACCTGTATGCTGCAAAACCTCTTGCAAGCTGATTTGCACCACTGCTCCACCTTGTCCTGTCATTTTTTATCTCTGCTTTCAGCTATGCTACCTTGCTTGCATTTCGTGGGGTGCCTGCGGTAACAGATCTAATGGCAACAAAGCACATGAGCAGATGATGACCTGCTGCATCACGAAGCATCAAGGAAGAGTAGAGCTTGTTGGCCACCAGACTATGGACCAACTGCGGACATCATGGCGTGCAGACTACCTAAGAATCTTCTCGGTACTTCAAGCAAGACCGCCAAGTTCGACTCAGCTCACAGACATGATATGTATGAAATGAACTTTGCAACAGCATGATTACTGTGTACCTTCGTAACTTTTCAGTTCCGTCAAGCCATGCAAGATTCTTAGCAGCAACTTCAAGCAACAACAAGACCATGATTCCATAGTAATCCGTACGTGTTGAAATTTCTTCAGCAATGTATTGTCCATATTTTCAAATTCAATAGGTTGATATGTATTGTATTTACAACTTCGGGATATTCATTACTTCTCAGCCTTTCAGGTGCAATAAGCTGACACACGACTCACCACAACGTTAAAATTTCCAGAATTTGAGAGAGAGCATTTTCAGAACTGATTTTTTAAGAGTTTTAAAATTTTTAAATGTTTTTCCAATTGTAGACCTTTCAGGACTTTTATTGTTTCAAATTCCTTTTCAGCCAGAGGGTGCAGACAATAGGTAAACAGAAAAGAGGAGCGTCCAGAGGCAGTAAATTGCGTTCAGAAATCAACCTATGAGAGGCATCGAAGCCCAATTCAGACAATGTGGAGAAGAGCAGTATTTGCAGACAATGAATTACGTCAGAAAACCAACCTACCGGAGACATTGAAGCCCAATTCCAACAACTACCCTCTTCACATCTCCAACACAATGGCTTGCTAGAATCCGAAGAACAGGGTCTGATCTCATAGAGCAGCCACAGGAAAGAAATACATGCGGCATAATTCAGTTCCCAACTTCCCATCGAATTCATTTCGCGGAGAAAGATCGCTCTCCTACACTCACCCAAGCCAGTATTTCATCATGCCGATAAACAACAGCAACTGGAACAGCATAAATAATCTTTCCACCAAGTTTCCAGTGTTTTCACATGGAAAATCAAATCTCTCTCTCTCTCTCTCTCTCTCTCTCTCTCTCTCTCTCTCTCTCTCTCTCTCTCTCTCTCTCTCTCTCTC